CCCCGTCTACAGAAGAGAGCGCCCCCCTGAGCGCTCAGTCCAGGAGGACAGTCAAGGGGAGAGAAGGGCAGGTGGTCCCACGATGTGGCTTTGAAACCTCCTTCTGGATTCTGCGGGCTCAGCAGGACCTGGTTTAGTGTGGGGCTGGTGATAAAATCTGCAGCGCCCTTGAGAGAAGAAAGTGTTGCCGTGTTCAAAAGCCGAGTGGCTGCCTCTAAGGGACCAAGTCTGCTCGGTGCTTGGGAACGGCCTTTCAAACCCCAAAACTGGCACCTTTCCTCGATTCTTCAGTCAGGGGTGGATATTGTACACTGTCTCTCGCAAGGTCTAAACCCTGGCTTTGCCTCAAGAAGTGACCCTCTGGTCCTTACTGTGGTTACTGGTAGAGAAAGACAGTGATAGGCATCTGTTAGCCGTGCTCTGTGTTTTCTTCATAGAGTTTTTTTTTTTTTTTTAATCTTAATTCTGAAAACAGAGATTCACACTGTGATGTTATATAACTGAGCAGTACAATTCTTTTGTTTCCCTTAGAGGAGTCTGTTACCATGAGTTATGGGATTCTGTTTGAGTCCACAGGGACAGTCCCGTTGTAGGGGATAGGGTTTATGGTTCACAGTTTCACTGCAGGCAGAAGAGAAGCATCCCCAGAGCTCCCTGAAAAAACAGCGAGAGCTTAGATTTAAACTGGGTCATAAGAACAAGGGACACACCTGTTTCACGGGCACGTTTCTTCTCCTGATTCTTAGATCCATAGTTTAAGGTATGCGGTTTTTCAGACAAGCTGATTTCCCGCCCCCAAGCCCAAATTGAGAAGAATGTGGAAATTGAGAAGAATGTGGAAATTGAGAAGAATGTGGTATTTGGAATCTCACACTTTTTGGATCCCAGCTTTATAATTTACTGGCTTAGACATACTTAAGCCTCCCTTTCCTCATGTGTAAAAATAGGGATGTTTATTTCACGAGGTTTATTGCCTTTTAAAGGACATCGTTAAGTGTCGGGCACCATGTCTGGCGCTCAATTTCCTCCTCCCTTAGCACAGCACGTTAGAAGGTGGGCTGAGAGTTTCAGTGCAGCTGAAATGGTCTTGGTGGGAGCCATGTGCCCAGTAGATTCTCAGTCGGTGTTCTCTGACTTGGCGTGCTCTGATTTATCCATGATCTAGGATGCCACAGTGCACCCTTACTGTCCAGGAAGCTACCCATTCACTCTTTTTTAAATTTTTATTTTTTGCCTGCGTTGGGTCTTCGTTGCTGCGCACGAGCTTTCTCTAGTTGCAGCGAGCGGGGGCTACTCTTTGTTGCAGTGTGCATGCTTCTCATTGCGGTGGCTTCTCTTGTTGCAGAGCACGGGCTCTAGGCACGCAGGCTTCAGTAGTTGTGGCATGAGGGCTCAGCAGTTGTGGCTCACAGGCTCTAGAGCGCAGGCTCAGTAGTTGTGGCACACGGGCTTAGTTTCTCTGCAGCATGTGGGATCTTCCCAGGCCAGGGCTCGAACCTGTGTCCCCTGCGTCGGCAGGCGGATTCTTAACCACGGCGCCACCAGGGAAGTCCCAACCCATTCATTCTTAGTCTGGATTTCCAAATAAGATCAATCGTCAGTGGAGGCCCTTGTGAGGAAGGTAGAGGAAAAAGCACTATTGATAGGGTTGTTTGACTTCCACTCTCCCCAAGCTTCCCGTGGACAAGTCTCATGCACCAAACTTCTGATCGAGGGCCAAGGAGCAAAAAGGTGAGGCAGAACCTGGGCAGCATGCCTTGGGCCTGGGGCTGAGGCTGGAGTGGCTATCAGGAGATGGGGCCAGCAGGCCACCCCAGCCCACATGGCTATTTGCTACTGTCCATCAAAGCCTCAGAAAAAATCACTTTGCTGAGGTATCTCCAGGCAGCTCACAAGGTGACATATCTGCAGGGCATGGTAATCACGGCTCACATCCATCAGCCTGTGCCCTGGTCACTCCCAGGCCCTGCTGTACCATTGAGTAAGGAGGGCTTAACAGCAATCCGATACGTTAGAAATGAAACTTTCCAAACAGGTCATTTAGATTTTGTAAGATAGACTAATTACTGCATACAATTGAGCTGAGTAGTGCCAGGGATACTGACCCACTGATGCAGAGCGGGATATAGCGCCAGCTGAACGCGTACTCTAAGGCCACTGTTGTGACGTTTAATTATTGATATTTTATTGGTATTAAAATGTTCTGACTGGGATGAGTGCAGGCAGGTGACATAGGGGCCCAGGCCTGTCATGAGGTTAGCACCCAGCATGTCACACGTGGTTAAAATCCACGGTGGGAATAATCAGCCACGTTCTCATAAATTTAAGGAGGGAAATGTAAACAGCATGGGGTTGCTCATCCTTCTGGCTGGAATGATGATGATTCCTACAGCGCCGTTCCTGGAGGGCGAATGAGGAACTGCAGACTCCCTGACCCTCATGGGGGAAGCACGCTCACACAGTAGAGGAAACCCTCCCAGGTCTGTTACAAAAAACCTGTGGTGCCGTGGCGCCTGCGTTTGTTGATTCTTGCTAAAAACGCTGTTGGCTAGGATTGCGACCCCATGGCCTTCGTGTGCTCTGTGCTGTGGTCAAAACTTGACCAGGGTTTGACTTGGTGGTCATCACCCAGTCGTATTCTGAGTGAACAGCAAATCTTTCATATAAGGGGCCTATATTTTCAAAAACTTGGAATGTGTTGCTTTAATTCCGTCTGGGAACTTTTTCAATGTTTAATTTAAATACCTAGCGTATTCTGGCTACAGGAGGGGACAGCAGAAGAGTTTTCTCTGGAGGGCAGCTGGCTTTCCAGTGCAGTGTCTGAGCATCGTTAGAAGCAGGCATCTCGTTAGCTAATACATTACACCAATCAAGGAGAGTTATCTTAAGCCACAATTAATCTGCTTCCTGGCATATGTTGATAGGAAAGCATCATGCTGTTTCTTAATTAAAAGCAAACGGATTAAAAATGATTAATAAGAGTATTAAATATTCTCTTAAACTAAAGGCTTTGGGATTCTTGGGTAAATCTAGTTTTTCTTTTTCCATTCTGAAACCCAAGAAGCACGCATTGTTTTCTTCTTTCCTCACCCCAAATCCTCATAAGTAAGTAAGGGCGTGTGCAGAAGTCCAAATTACCATGATGGAGATGGAAATGTCGGAGTTCAGGGGCAGTGCTTAGGAGTGCAGGCGCATCCATCCATGTGTGGGGTGGGCAGGAGCTGGCACGTGGGAGTTAAGACAGCCACACTGTGGGAAACACCACCACCGCCACCCTCGTCAGTAGAGACTGATGTGCAAAACGCTCGCGTTCAGCCTCAGAGGTGCTGGGCAGGACGCGCAGCACGGAGAGGTGGGAAGGCCCCCTCAGCTTCGCACTGTCCGGGCCGCACCACCCTGACCAGGAGAGCTGATCTTTTTGTCAGTGATTACAAACAGAGATGGACAAATTTGGGGCCAGAAAAAGAACTGGACACAAGAACTAGAAAAGGCAGTTGCTGATCCTTAATCCTGGGGCTCCTTAATCCTTCAACTGTGAAGGACTCCTTAAGGGTTGTTAGAAACGTGGACGTCAGTTACAGGACATGTAATAAACAAGCAGCACAGCGAACTCGCTGGCCAAGGTGGAGATGGGGAAGTGAGAGTCTGAAAAGAAACCATTATTTTGAAAGGCCCGAAGTAGAACCTTAGGAAACAGCACAGCGCCCAGTCTCCTGCGTGACAACTCTGGCGGGCGCTGAGGACGCAGCCTCTGTGCTTTGCAGGCCCTGGGGTCCCAGCCATGGCTCGGGCGCCTCTGCTGGAATCCAGGCTTCCTGAGCCACCTCCCGAGCTCCCTAACGCACCCACCTATTAAATTACAGCGCCAAACTCATTGGCATTCTGACTTTGACTCGGTTAGTGATAACAGAGGAGGACAGCGCACCTTTAAGTGACGAGCTTTGTGTTTAATTACCCAAACAAAATGACATAAATATGAATGAGCCCTAATGGCAGTACTTGGGTTTCCGGAAACCATTAACAAAACGATTCCTAAATGATTTGTAAAGAAAATGAGCGGAGACGAGAGCCAGGAGAAGGCTATTAGGTTTCTAACACACTCCTGAATTATTATGTAGTCAACTACCTGGGAAATGCTCAGCTAAATGATCTTGAAAGGAGGAGGTGAGAGGTGGTTTGTGGAGACTTTCAGGGTGATGGACATCCTGACCCTTCGGAAAACTCTCACAGAAGGCGAACTGGGGTTTAGGTTTCCGACCCGGCGGCAGAACTCCCCTCACCTCTGGCCTCCTCCAGCTCTATGGCAGGAGGCCTCCACAGCCAGGCTGCTCACCTGCCACACACCCTGCTGGGACTAGAGACTTAAATTTAGGAATCGTGACTCAGTTCCTCAAGAAGCACACATCTCATTTTAGAAACACCAAGTAAACAGCATTTCCCTCTCAGTCTGCACTTTACTAAACAATCTGTCAAGGGACTAAATTCCCGTAGCCTTTGTGGAACAGGTAAGGGGACGGGACCAGCGTCCGTGTGAGCACGGATGCCTCCGGGGGGCCCAGGGGGACACTTCAGAAGCAGGGCAGGGAAGACGAGGAAGGCTCCTGTCTTGAGGCCTGCTTCCTCCTCCTGCAAAGCCAACAGTAATGGAGAGCCGGGAACGACCTCTTTACGTTGAGTAAGCCTTTGCAGTGCACTTTCCAGATGTAGACTAGTCAGGGTGTCCAGCCTGGCCCGGGCCCTGGTGTCCAAGCAGGCGCCGTCTGTTGGCAGGCCTATGTTTGGGACAACAACAAGGATCTGGTGGAATGGCTGGAGAAGCAGCTGGCAGAGGAAGATGGCGCTCGCTCGGTGATAGAGGAGAACATCAAGTACATCAGCAGAGACTACGTCCTCAAGCAGATCCGCAGGTGAGACCCGCGGGGGCAGGTGGGGGTGCTCCTGGGTAGAAGTGGGGCTCACTTCTCGGGGGCGAGCGACTCAAGGACAAATGGTGAGGTGCTGATGCCTCGCAGTCTTTGTGGTCCCTTTCTGTTTGAGACGGCTGTGGTTGACCCACAGATCAGAAGAGCCCTGAAGCGCAGTTCTCGCTCAGCGGCTGGTCCCCAGGGGCACTTAGTAACGATGGCTTAGTTCACTGTGCCCAGCTCTTCGCTCCAAATGCAGGGACTCCAACTGGATGAACGATTCTGTGAGGAGAAGCGGATTGCGTCATAGTTTCCTGGGAAACTACCTCCTCCCCTCCCCCAGCCAAGAGTTAGTTGTGTTCTAGAGGCTTCCGTCTTCTCCACAGGCTGGGTGGTGGAGACTGCTGGGGACATTTTTAAAACCTTTTCTTTGGACACATTTCATTTACAGAAAAACTGCAAAACTGAAAACAGTACAGAGAACAAATCTGTACCCAAATGTGCCTGGTATTTACATTTTACCCTTTTTGATATATAAAAGAGCAAGCACACACACAAATGATATAAGAGTAAGCATACTCATATATGTGTGTGTGTGTGTGTGTGTGTGTGTGTATCTTTTCCTGAACCATTTAAGGGTAAGTTACATATGTCATGGCCCATCATGGCCCTTTACCCCCAAATAGTTCAGTATGCCTTTGCTAATAGGGATATTCTCTTACATAACCAGAGTAAAATGATTAATTTTTATAAATGGAACATTTTATCTAAACCACCATTTGCAGACCATTGCTCATTTTGAGTTTGTCTGATGTCACCTCATGATTAGATTCAGGCTGTGCATTTGCAGCCAGAATATTACATCCGTGATGATTTGGCCTTCAGAAGGTACCATACCTGGAGGCACATGATGTCATCTGCCTGTCCCAATGTTAGTTTCCATCACCTGATCAAGCAAGCTGTTACTCAGCTTCTCCACTGTATAATTCCTGATTTTCCCATCCCTCTTGAACCTAATAAGCAGTCTGAGGAGAGACACTTCAAGGCCATGCAGATTCCTGCTCATCAGAATTTCCACCTAGATTTAGCATCCAGGGATGATTCTTGCCTGATCCAGTCTTTTTTTTTTTTTTTAATTTATTTATTTATTTTTATTTTTGGTTGCGTTGGGTCTTCGTTGCTGCACGCAGGCTTTCTCTAGTTATGGCGAGCAGGGACTACTTTTGGTTGTGGTGCGCGGGCTTCTTGTTGCGGTGGCTTCTCTTGTGGAGCCCGGACTCTAGGCACACGGGCTTCAGTAGTTGTGGCATGCGGACTCTAGAGCGCAGGCTCAGTAGTTGTGGCGCACGGGCTTAGTTGCTCTGCAGCATGTGGGATCTTCCCGGACCAGGGCTCGAACCCGTGTCCCCCGCGTTGGCAGGCGGATTCTCAGCTACTGTGCCACCAGGTAAGTCCCTGATCCAGTCTTTACAGTGAGGTTGCAAAATGACAGTGTTCCAACTCCTCTGCACAGTCACGTCTCACCAGCCAGCTCTCCTCTCCTGTAAGCAGCAGTCCTCTCTCCTCCTCCATCTATTATATCTTCGTTATTGGTGTAGGACTAGTGAATGTCTTTTTTCAATGATTTGTAATTCATTATTTTGATGCCCCAGATGTCCCAGATTTAGCCAGTGGGAGCACCTTCAGGCTGGGTCCACTATCTTTGTGACATGACTCCATCGGGGCTTTGGTTTTTGCTTTTTGAGGTTACTTCCTCACTTTCCGACATAACAAAATGTTTGTTTCGGGTTCGTGTGGTATCTTGCTGCTGGGGACATTTTTCACGTAGGAAAATGAATCAGGTGAGGCAGGGACTGCAGGGTCCGCAGTGGACTCTGGGAGCAGGTTTCTTGGGCAGTTCTGAAGCTACCCTGACCTAGGCACTGCTGCCTCTCTCTCATCCTCACCGTCCCGAATCTTCCCCTCCAGCTTGGTACAGGCCAATCCAGAGGTTGCCATGGATTCCATCGTCCACATGACCCAGCACATCTCGCCCACTCAGCGAGCAGAAGTCGTTCGGATCCTCTCCACAATGGACTCCCCGTCAACGTAGGAAGAGCTTCCTGCCCACCCCTGCCCTGCCTCCGGAGAAAAGGGCTAGAGCTGCCTTTTACACCTGAAGCCGCTGTAATTAGAAGGCACACGAGACCAGCACTGGAATCAAAGTGGCATTTTGCTTCCCCTCGATGTTTTCAGGTTACGCATGACATACTGGGACGTAGGTCACAAGCCCCCACTCCAGCCCACCGGTCACACCTACCCCGTTCAGTATTTATTATTAATTACCCTGGCTGTGACGGCAGTCCTCGCTCCCCGCCCAGGACCTAAGAAGGCAATGACGGGTACAAGCACCTACCAAGAGGTCTTACTACATGCCAGCAGGGCCACCCTCCTGTCCTGACTGCCCCTTGGTCCGGCCCCGGGAAGTGGGAGCTGTTGCCAGGCAGTCAGCAGCCCGCGCTTGCCCCTGGCCCCATGAGCCTGCAGCCACCGGCAGCAGAGGAGGGCTGGGGCTGAGGCCATAGGCCCAGCACCAGGCGTGGGGAGAGGAGGAAGCCTCGGGTGTGTTGTTTCTTACCCCACACTCAGCCCGGTCCACACCAGGCACCCAGTTTCATCACACCAAGGTACTGCTTATGAAGAAAAATTAGAGCATGAAATCTGCAAGCTCCATGGAACTCAAAGATGAGGGCAAACCACGATCCAAGAAGCAGAGAAAGCAAAGAGACCAAGTCACTGTTGTCGATTTAGGGGCCTCACCCTGGGGGCTCCCTTCTCAGAACAAGCGTAGAGACGGTTGACCTGCCACTGCTCCATGTGCCGCTGCTCGGTTAGCTGAGATGCCCGGGGGTCCCACTGGCAGTGCCGTAGCCCGAGTGGGCAGAGGAGGAGCCAGGGGAGCTGCCCTTCCCATCACTGATGGAAAGTAGTCACCATGCGACAGCAAGAGCGGGCCAGCCAGTCTCTCTTTTTAGGACGCGGAAGGTTGTTACTGTTAAGCCTGGAGCTTTGATGGTTACAGGAGGTTAACAGTACCTACAGGGCCATCGTCTCTGTTTCTGGGGCCACTCTTCTAGCAGCTGACACTCTTACTTACTTTGGGTCTCGTCTCTTCCTTGAATGTACACAGGCACAGCCGGCCTCCCCACAGCCACGGAAAGGAGCCCTGGTGACATCAGTGCTCTCGGCGCTGGGAACTGGCCTCCCCCGCTTTGGGGAGGCTTCCAGGGAACACAGAATCCACGTGACCTTAAGATTATCCACAACCCCATCATGGTGCTGCTGTCTTCCAGGCCCACACGTCCCTCCCTGGCCTCCTCATGGGTGATGGAGAGTTTATTTTCAACAACCAGTTTATTCAAGGAGAGAGCTTCCTGATCCTCCCCCCGTCGGTGTTCCTAAAGCAAGAGTGGCAGGTGATCAGGGCTGGGGTAGCATCCGGTTCCTACAGTGCAGCTAATTGCATTTGTCACTGATGACCAAGGGGGAAATCACTAAAGACGTCTGAGAAGCAGCAGTATGAATACTTCCGTACGAGCTACGGTTTTGAGCCTTAACCCTACAGTTCACGCACAAGAAAGAGCTCCACTCCTCTCCTCGGGAACTGTTTGTGCAGATGGACACCGTGCGGCTGGATGGGTTGCCACCTGCCCCCAGGAGCCTGGAGCCTCGGCCCGGCTGCCCTGCTGCGGGGGTTTGGCGCCATCCAAGCCAAGAAGGGCGGGAGAAGGTGGGGAACAATTTTCAGTCCAGGAAGCACATCCACTGTTGCTGGTGTTCGCTTACCCAGTAAGCGTGGATTCACCTTTGACCAGATAATCCCTCTACACACCTACGGGTGGTGTGGAGTCCTGTGCTGGCCCTGGCATCTCTCTGGGGCAGGGGGCGGGTGACACTTGCTTACCTCCCCCCAGCCCCCAACAAAATTATGACACATTAACGGAATACATTTAGTCTCTAGAACTCGGCCATGCTCACCACCCCCCCATCCCCAGGGCGCCTCACTTTAGGTCTTACCTGGACAGGGCCCTTTCCTATGGAGAAGTCAGGAAGAGACACAGCCCATCACACACACGAGGTCACCAAGGCAGGAGGAGGGCGAGCGATTTATCAGCTGAGACTCGCCTGAGCTAGGATCACCATGTTGTCCGCTCACTTCGGTCACAAAGCAGCCTTTACTTGTCTTACTGAGCATTCGATGTACGCACAGCCTGATGAGCAAGGAGCTTCAGTCAAATGTATTTTCATGTTTTGTTGAAATAAACCTCCACGTTTGTAGATGAGTCACTGTGTGTCACTTTAGCCCACGCCCAGCACCTCACTCTGGTTCCACTCTGAGTAGGGGAGCTTTGTAAGGGCGAGACCTACCCCTGCAGAAAGTAGAGCCAGTGTAAGGACAGTGGCGCATGGTGCTTCTGCAAACGACACCATTCCCAGCCTGGGCAGTTTTCAGGTCCACATACCCTTGATGGGCTGGGCAGTTTCATGGGTCTTGAAGTGAACACGAAGGTTTGAACCTCTGGGTTTGCATGCTTTGTGGCATTTTCTGGGTCAAGTGAAGAGCAAACCATTTTCAGAGACCACTTCGGGCCCCCCTTTATGGAGAGGTTTTAGATTCGTGGCTTCTGAACGCTAACTTTGGGCACAAAAAGGGACTAGGGGCAGGAAACTCAGGCTTGTGTGCCTTCAACCCTCTGCCTCAGTTTCTATGAATCCATGTGGTTGAAGCAGGAATAACATCTGCAAAGAAAGACTCGGGCCACAAGAGAGGAGGGAGGGGAAGCACCGGGCTTTGCTGACTATTAAACTTGGTGCCGGGTCCGTCTCTCTTTAGGATGTACAGCAAAGCAAAGGGTGGCTTCTGGCAATTTACAAAATATGTATCAGTTTGAATCACCCTAAGCTAGATGTTCTAGAAAGGGGAGCAGGAAGGGAGATTCAGGATCCAGGGGAGGGTGCCGCTTTTTGCCTCCAGCTGCTGCTCTCCATGGGCGGGGGATGCTGGGTGGCACAGAGGCCTTGGGCCTTCTCTCCCCACTAAGCAGGCAGCCGAGAACGAGACCCCAAGTGTAAACTTGGCGCGATCCCTACTCTCGGCCAGCACCTGTTGGTGGTTCTCAGGAAGGTCAGCAGGATTAATGGGAAGATTCCACTGCTGCCTCTGGGAACTTACCTGATACGTACAGTGCTTTCATCTGTTGTTGGGGAATGCCATTTCCTTCATCAGTCTTTTTAATAAAAGAAAGTTTAAAGCTTTCATTAGTATTACCTTGGGGTAATAAGGAAAAGATTGAACAGCGAGGGTTCAATCTTTTGGGAAATGGGATCTAAGCTGGGCCCACACATCTTCCCCCAACTGAAAAACAAGAACACAGTGACAAATGCCAGTGCCTCATGACCATCATAGGGAGGACCCTTGGCATGCTCCTTCCGTGTGCAAGATTCCACACCAGGCTGTGGTGAGAGGCCTGGAGAGGTGCTGAGCTGGAGGTGAACCTGCATTCAAATGCTGGCTCCTCAGCTTGGGCACAAGAAGGGTAAGACCCAGGCCTGCCCTGATCCACATGGTGAGGCGGAGAGTGCTAAGGACCGCACGAGTGTGCAGACAGTGAAGGGCTGAAGCCTATGGGCAGAGAGGCTTCCAGCTGGGAGAGTACGGCAGGTGCCCCCAGTCAAGCACTCGCATCTGCAGTTATTCAGGAGACACTAGGAATGTTGGCTAGGAGCACAGCAGTCATCTGGGAGAGGAGGGACAATGAAATGTGAAAACGCAAGTAGGCAACAGAGCATGATGAGCTTTAAGTGCTCGGCCAGGAAACAAGGTATGTTCCTGAAGAGAGTGGGTCGCCTTTGATGGTTTGGGGGCATGGGAAGATTGGGTAAAAAGGTTTAGAAATCAGCCTAATTAAATGAAAAGAGCACAACCTTGGGTACCAAGAAATCTGGCTCCAAGCTTAGCTCCACGTGCGTATGTCCCTGAGCTGCAGGGGTCACACCCAGGAGAGTAAGCCCAGGCCACCCCAGGAAGCACAGAAATAGTAATGGGCGACTGTCCACTATTTTCAATACTCCACAGATCCTACATATGCCTCAGTCAGGTGACAAAGGCTCACCATGCTGTTGTTTTTCTGGTAACTAAGACATTTACCTACCCGGGAAGTGGTACTGGCTTCCTCATGCTGGCCAAAAGCTCCAATGGGCAGTTAATAATAATAAATAATGAGAACGGGACATCTTCATAAATGCAGTATTTTAGTAAGCAAAATCTTCCAAAACATGGGATTCCCTGTGGTTGGTGGAGGGGTGGAATAGTTACGGAGCCTCAGCTCTGAGGGGACTTGGACCCACCCAGTGGGCTCAGCCCATTAGGAACTGTAAGGAGATGAGACAGATGGCAGCTCAAAGCAGGTCGGATGATGGGCCTAATCCCAGAATCCCCTGATTCTATGACTGGCCTGCTGGGGTGACCAGGAAGGATTGGGGTGAGGAGAGATGGAAACAAAGACATCCAGGCCCTGAATTAGGAAAAAGCTAACAGAGCATTTTTGCCCATACTAACAACTACTTTGGAGCCATGTGGGGATACAACAAGATGAATGCAACCTAGAAGAGAGCTTTCACCCTTGAAGACATTATGCAAGTGACACATTATGCCAGATACAAAATGGGAAATATTGGGCGATTCCACTTATATGAGGTATGGAGAATTTTCAAATTCACAGAGACAGAAAGTAGAATAGGGGTTACTAGGGGCTACAGGGAGGAGGAAATGGGGAGTTATTGTTTAGTGGGTGTAGGGTTTCAGTTTGGGATGATGAAAAAGTTCTGGAGATGGACAGTGGTGATGGTTGCACAACAAAGTGTACTTAATGCTACTGAACTGTGCACTTAAAAACTGTTAAAATGGTAAAGTTTATGTATATTTTACCACAATGAAAAAAAGGAAATTCTGGAGTTGTAAAGTACAATAACAAATGAAAAATTAACTAGAGGGACTAAACAGTAGACTCAGGAAGGCAGAAGAATGAATCTGTGAACTTGAAGATAGAGCAATAGAAAGTATCCAACACGAAGAACAGAAAGAAGAAAGAATGAAAAGTGAACAGAGCCTCAGAGATCCATACAGCAACACCAGGTGTGACAACTGATGTGTAATGGGAGCGCCAGAAGGAGAGCAGAGAGGGACAGGAAAAATATCTGAAGAGATCACGGCTGAAACCTTCCAAATACGATGGAAAACAACCTGCAGATCCAAGAAGCTCAAGAGATCCCAAGTAGGAAAAATACAAAAAGATCTATACCTAGACACTTCATAGCCAACCTGTTAAAAGACAAAGAAAGTCTTGAAAAAAGCTAGAGAAAAACAACTCATCATATATAGAGGAACAACAAAACAAATAATAAATAACAGATAACAGCAATAGAAGCCAGAAGGCAGTGGGCTGATATATTCAAAATGCTACAAGAATTTAAACAAACAACTGTCAACCAAAAATCCTATATCCAGCA